TTTTTGATTCCGTACGTTATCAGATTTTTGTGATGTCGTTGCTGCCACCGAAGAAGAATGTCTTTACACGTTTATCTAACTAAATACAACAAAGTCACACTGTTTGGCACTTCTAAAACCGTCATTTATCTGTTAAAGACATCAAAAAAAAAAAATACAGGGGCAAACTGAGGAACTGTCACATTGAGAATTATTTTTTCTTCTAAATATTCCTTTTTTTGGTAAATTAGCTACTTGCGGTTTTTATTGTAAATGCATCTTGTTAGTTGTATTATGAGTCTTATGCAACTAAAAGTAGACATAGAAAGTCGAGTTTCGAAGTTTGATTTAGATAATGATACAATAAAGGGAGTTATTGCTGATACAGGGACTTCTATATTTCTTGTTTCAAATCAGTACTAACCCACCTTACTCGTTATGGAGAGGCTGAAAAACAGGGAAGGAGTGTCTAAATAAAACGACGAGGAAAACTGGCTTTAAAGGATTAAACACTTTATTGCCTTCTGAAGAATGCCCTGCAGCGGATTGCTGAATAAGTTGGGCGATGAGTGAACTCAACTGTTGGGCCTAAAAAACTGTTTTTTACAGGTCAGAACCGGCTATTCTCATTCACGTTTATGGAAGTGTGGCGAGGAGAATTTTTTTTTTATTTGGAGACATAAAAAAGCTTTTGTAAACTGGCTTACAAGTAGATGGTTTTGCGACAGAGCAAGCCTCCAAAATACACTGGTGAATAAATTAAATGGTAACTTGGGCAGTAGTGTCTTTCAGTTTTTGGAGTGTCTAGTTTATAGCCGAAATTTGCTGCGAAGTATATTTCCTAATGCCCTGCATAAAGGAACGACAGAAGGCAATGAAGGATCTGCGATATAGAAATGTTTTTAATGCGTGCTACAGGAATTGCTCAGAAGAGCTGTTTTTTCTGCAGCGTTTGAAGTATTCAAATAGCAGGAAGCTCTATAAATTTTAATGGCCATAGTGTTAAGAAAAATTTGAATATTGAGAATGAAGGACTTATTTTATTAGTAGCTGTAAACAATAGGTTTACTTGGAGCTACTGAGATTCTACATGAATCACTGGTTGCAGCAGTAAGTTTAAAAAAAAAAGGTGAAGCGTACGTGGACGACAAGTGTAGCACGGCCTCACATATCAGTCAGGGGACAAGCAAAAGTACTGCACCAGCTGGAGTCGCAAAGTGCAGTATTTTCAGTATCCAATCAGTAAATTCACTGTTATCATCGCTTATCATTTTCCTTACGTATCCGTGGCAGTTCAACAGTTGTCAGTGACATCTTCCAGACCAGCCGTGGGATACAAAGGAAACAACATTCCTACGTTACTTCCCCAGGCAGCATTTCCTCCGCACTGTATGCTTGCTTTTAAGGAGAGTCTGTAAGATAGAGCAGTTGAGCGGTTTTGTCCATTACACTGTTAGGGAAGCTTTGGCCGGCTGAGGCACTCAAGTCCCTACCTGCTTTTCCCATGCAGACTACCTCATCAAGCAAGATTGGTGGTGCAGTTTTATGGAAGGAAGCTTGAATTCAGTTTCAAATGGCTAGGATGGAAGTTTCAATATTAACACCCATGAGCGGTTCAAAAAAACATTGGAGTGAAGGTGTATAAAATTTTCCCTTAAACAACTTCTAATTGTTTGGGCTTTGTGCCTGTGGGAAAGGTTAAGTAATGGATTTACAAAGTCCTTGTGCTTATTTAAGTGATACTGAGGGTCTGTTCTATAAAACAAGTAACTACAAAAAATCTTTCGGTAGAATTACGGTTTTGTTACGGTGGGGACGATAAAGGTTAAAAAGCGGGACGAAATTAAACCTTGACAAAGAGAGTGAAGAAAAAATGTGAGAAATTTCAATTGCAGCATTTACTATTGAGTGTAACGAAGGCGGTAATGAAGACAGCCCAACAGTTTCTTTTCTATGTCAATATCTATTTTGTAGCATGGGGAAGGTAACGTTCTGCCTTCTGTAACACTCATTCTAATGAAATTTTCTGTAACAGCTATTTTAATGAAGTTGGTACGGTTTTTGAACGACCCGACTGTTTTTTCAAGCACTAGCAAAAGTGATCGTTAGTGCGGTCTTCAGTTACCAATATTTCGCAATCTTTGAGAAGTATTTTTGGTGAATTAATAGCCGTTTCTGAGTTGATTTTTCAAAAAGCTTCCTGCATTAGCAAGTTTGTTTACCCTTCCTTTCAAACCGACTCTGGGTTGTCTAGTGGTAGATGTAGATGATCTTGCAATATGCGCTTCTTACGCATGGCTTGCATTCTGAATCTCTGTCGATGGCGAGTCTCTGTAGTTGCAAAAATGCGCTGGGTAACTCTGAATTTATGAGCAAATGTACCAGTCGCAAGTATGACCCATTTAATTTGTTTGATCGTTAGCGACACAGGAGCAGTAGACATTTGAAGTGTCACCAAACGGTCAGATGCACATGCCTACTCTGAAAATCTAATTTCTGACCGGTATTTCTGTGAGTAAACTTCTGTAGCCTTGAGAAAATTAAGCGTTGTGTCTCTAACCTGCATTCCTCTGTGAAATCAAGGTTCTGCATTTTTTTTTTTTACTACCCAGTTTTGCTAAAATTTGGTTGCTGTAATACTGATGTACCGGACGGGAGGGCGAATTATTACTGTTGATAAGGATGTTTCTTTTTAGTTGACTGTGCAAATTATGTGTTGCCGGTAAACTTTACAACGTCTAATGGTTTATTGCAAGACGTTCGGTTTGATTCCACAACTCCAATGTTTATTGGCAACAACGATGTTTATCACTTCCTTCAAGTCACCGTAACATTTGGTATAGTTCCCGAAAGTAAGTTTAACAGTCGTATCACTGAACTCTTGAAAAGCTATTTGAAAAACTTCGGTTTGCTCAGAATTTTTTTATGAAAGACGTCGTTAATCACTGCTTTAACGAGTTTTGATTGTTCGAAAGTTTAAATAAATAGTTTTTTATCTTTTTTTATTTCATATTTAATGCTGTTTCAACGAAAGAGTGAATTTTTGAATGTTTAGCTGTACCTGCGTTTCTTTATCATAGTTTTTTGGTCTTTATTTTGGTTTTGCAGGATACTCACCAAATGATGATTTAACATTTTTATGGTCAGCAGAATGGGAATATGGAAAAAACAAAAAATGTTTTCTGCTAGATATGACTAAGACAGATTTGGTCAAGATGACTCCCGGAGGAGTAAGTTTTTAAAGATTTTAGTAGATTTGTTGGGTTTTGCCTTTTACCTTCAAATCAGTTTTGAGGAAAGAAAGAAAGGAAATTTTGAGAGAACAAGTAGGAAAGAACATGGTGTTAAAAACATCTTGCTAGTAGACGGTTAAGTGATTTTGGGTTACATGCTACAAAAGGTGTTTGGAAAAATAATCTATCAAGCGATCTCTTATCCCCGTAACAGCCGTAGCTCTGTGAGAGGATCGGTGTAGACTTCAAAAAACTTTCTTCATTCGGTCTTTCGAGGGTATGAAAAGCTGCATAAAATTTCATTTTCTAAAGTTTAGCCATAGATACTCATTGCTGTATTATAGAAAAGATTTTCAATGACTTCGGATCCCGGAGATTTCGAGTTTGGTCAAAGTTACAACTTCACAATAATTGCATCTCCTAATTTACCTGCACCATCAAATTGTTTTAAAGTGAAATATAAAATGCCTGTCGACCCAGGTTACTTAATATACTTGTAATACGCTGTAGCTAATTTTACCGTTGTCACCTTAGCCCTTGTTCATTTGACTTTATAAATGTGTTCAAGGTTATTTTTCAATTAACAGAGAGGCTTTTAAGCAAACTGTGTCGTGATTCCAAGATATTTTAATACAAAGGGTTTTGCTAAATTATGGCATTTCAACTTTTTTCAAGACCTGTACTTTTTTCTTCTCTTTTGTGCTGTCTATTAAATGCTTTTTCAGATGTATTCCAAGATGACAGTGAGTGCGAGGATTATTATGCTCCTTATGGTTAGTGAAATTTTGGAGAGTTAATTAGTTTTCTTAACTATTCTAATTTATTTAATTGATGAGGTTTTTTGGTTAATTTACTTAATTTACTTGAAACGATTTTTACTGGTGATTTTGTGAAGGGTTAACTCACTTGTTATTGATGTAAGTTAATGCTAGACTAGTTCTAAAAAAAAAAACCAAAAGATAATAACGTTTTCATCATTTACGTGGTTCTCTAATGGATGAAACGCTGCTGTTTTCAGGAAACAATCAGGCCTCAAAATGGTACGCCACTTTTTTGACGATAACGAAGCAGGAACTAAATGGATCAATACGTATCAGTTTTATTGGAGCACCCCCTGGATTTTGTTTTGAACAGTATATCCTCTCTCTGGGAAGGAGTGATATTAAGCACCAGACGGTTATTTCAGTTGAGCAAATGCAACCAAAACTAATCCATAACAAAACATACTTAATTGGAGAACACACGTTTACTGGACTAAAGGTAATCAGTTCCGCAGTTTAATTAGAAATTAATTAATATCGAATTGTACGGTACTAGTTCTGGAATTGAAAATGCAATATGTTGAATAAATTCTTGAGCAGTTTGGGTAAATAAAAGAGTAGATTAAGGTAAGTCATCTTTTTTACATTTAATTGCACCTTTTGTTGTTTATTTTGAAACAGTTATTGAAATATTAAATTTTCAGTATGGAGAAGAATATCGGCCTGTTGTTGTTGCTGTTGCGGAATCTAAACATGAAGTAAATATCAAAGGTAAAAAACAGCGCAAATGTCTCTGCCAGATCTTCAGACTGTCCGATAATCAGGTTGCCGGCGGTTGCAACTGCATTCTTTCAGAATATCGAGCCGTAGTTTTAGAAAGTAAAATTAATCTGTTTTGTGAAAACATTTGTTAGCGGGAGATATATTGCTAAGTCGTATTTCAGACAAAAAGTAAGGTTCAGTTACAGAAATTTAGAATAATTGGTACAGTTTTCATCAGTAGGTAATATTGAAAGTACGGGACTGTGGTAGGAATTACGTCTTTTTAAACTATTTAAAACATATTTTTCACCTTTTATCGGTTCACGCAATTTTTACCAAAATGGCACAGTGGGGAACATTTAGTCTGTGAAAGAACCTAGTATTTCAGAATTACATCGGTCTTTTCTTGCTACAACTGCGGGTCACTTTCATAGGGATTTCACAAGTCTTCCGCCGAAACGGGAAAACGCTACTGTTGTGTTGGTTTTCTTTGGAATATCCCGTTTATTCTATTGAATTTTTTACAAGTTTCTAGCCTTTATTTTATTTCCCAGTAATTGGTCATTTTTTTCAGGCACATTGCCTTGTTTGCCACTGCAGTTATTGCAGTGATTTTATTAGGGTTAATCTACTTTATGTTTATGAAATTTTATCGTCAGTATCACCAGCGAAAAGTCATCATTCATTTCGGTTTATCTTCGAATGTAATGAATGACAAAGTTACTGGATACCCTATCGTTTCTCCATTGATTGCTAAAGGTAATCATTCTTGAGATTTGTAAAATTAAATTTTGTTCCATTTGCCGTACTATTTTTAGGTTTTAGGTTTTCTTTCCCCATCACAATAAGCAATTTGAGAGAAATTTCTAGTTAAAATTTTAGAGCGAACAAATGTTTTAATAATATATGCACATGATAGCCAACTTCACGATGATGCAGTTATGGCTTTGGCCCTATTCTTGCAGGATACACTTGAATTCAGTGTCCACGTTGGTGCTTTTGATCTTATTAATGTATTTAGAAGTCATAGTAGTTTAATCCCATTAGATTAGCAAAATTTAAGTTCCAGGTTGAACATAGTATTCAACTGCTTGTAACTTTAACAGTTGTTCGTAAAGAATAATTTTAGATCGATCACTGGGACAGTGGTGAAATAGAGATTAATAAAATGGATTATGTTTCTTTATCAGTACAGAAAGCTGACAGAATAATTATTGTGAATTCGTTCGGGGCTTATAAAAGATATGAAAGTAAAATTGATCATGAGTGTTTAATTGGTCGAATCAATCGCGGAATCTTTGACGAATTATTTGTAATGCAAATTGACCAGGCTCTTGGGTAACTTTAATCTTGAGTTCATACTTTGTTTCTTTTTTTCAATTACGATGAGTGGTAATCAAAAATTTTTCTTGAGTTAGTAAACTTTCAGACTCAGAGTGAAATACCAATATTTTGTTGAACTTTTTTTCCTTACAAAGTTCTCATCAGTTTTTGGTAACTGCTAGTTTGAACGAGCAAAAGATAAAGCAGAATGCTTTTCATTAAAAAAGCGATTTTCAGACGACAGTCTTGCATACTCTCGGTGAGGTTTCCCTACACTCCATCATCATATATCTTAGCCCCACTACGTGTCTCATCGCAATATGTGTTGCCCGATAATTTGGAACTGCTGCAGACTGCACTGTACAAATCTGGTCATGGCCCTGCAAAGATAAATTCTTCATCGCGCCATCTTCTTTTTATGAATACTGCGGTTTTAAGGATGTCTAGTTTTATTATAGCTCACCCAGAATGGTTTTATAAGACTCATTGCGCGATTGCGCGAGAAACTAATCCTGCTCAAACAGTTCTTCCATTGGTTACGGTCAAGACTGACAACGATTACTCTTCGGAGTTGGTACGTCGTATTAATACGGAACTTTATTCGCTTGAAAATTCAAAAAAACATTCTCCAAAGCAGGATTCCTCTGACGTGATTATCTCTACTTCTGTAAAGAATCCTGAGCCGCCTGGGAAACTTGATTCGGGTATTCATACTGAGGAGGAGTGCAATAATGCTGAAGGTTTAAATTGTATGATAAAGTCGGAAATACCAGTGAACAATCAAAAGGAGTGTTTCGAACTGAAGAACTTTGAAGGTGGCGATGTTAAAGAAAAGAGCGATTCTGGATATATTGGAGAAGTAAGAAGTATAAATGTATATTCGTAAACGTCGTTCAAAAGTGAAATTTCTGTATAGTCAGATAGGGAAAGTTTTGCTGTCGGTATGTTTTGTTGTAATTGCCAAACCCAGCTTCCACATAAATTTGTTTTTTTTTTTTAATCTTAGATTTTTGTGGAAGATATCTCGGTTATCTGAACGTTAGGCTCTTTTTATCTTTGAAGGTTGTAGGCGATTTCTCCAAATCTGGTTTCAGCTGGTTTCTCCAAATCCTTCTTGGGAAGAAGAATTTTCAAAGTTTACCTATTTTTCTCCTCTAGTTTTGGCAGCCGAGGCGCTTAGAGCGCATGGGTTTGATTGGGAGGCAGTTGGTTCAGCAGAAGAAGACTTTAGGATTTATTTGTCGTTACAGTAGGGTAAAATCAAATGTACTGGCACAGATGGTTATTTAAAATGACTAGTCAACTAGGTATTGATGCTCTTTTTTTGGTGGTTTAATAGCAGGAATCTTTTTAATTTAACGGAAGTATTTCTCATACTGATCTCGTGACTTCTAAAAAATGTGTTTTAAGCATGGGTTTCTCATTACGCTGTAATATTTCTGTAGCATTCAAATTGGTAAGTGCAATGCAATTATATTCTAGCCAGGTCTTCCTTCTTGCGCCTTGGTAGTCTTCTCAGAGAAGATAACCGCAGTCATAACCATACCGTTAATGCTGCGTTTTTCTTAAAATCAAATTTAGTCACATTCTTTCCTGTTTCTTGAGTATCAAGAGCAATGTTTCGGATTATTCTTCAGCTTGTTCACGGCAAGCTATAGTTATTCTTGTATGCTACCGTTAATCCAAGGGTACTAATTTATTATTTTTTGTTGTTTGTTTGTCCCTCTGATTGCTGCCGTTGAATAGATCACAAGTTTCTCTGAACTAAAAACTGTTGTGGTGTTGGTCACGAAATAAGTACCACTGTTTTTAGCAGTGCTTCAAGGAAATAACTGGTATATCAAATTTTTTCTACGAATACTGTCTGCAGCAGCAGTCAGTTGTTGTTTGATAAAATTACTTTTTTTGTATCTATTGCAGAAAAAGTTCCTGCGTATGTATTTATGTGTGTGCGTGTGAGCGTGTGTATGTGTGTAACTATATTTTAAAAAACTTGGATTTTAAAATGTTTTTTTCGGTGTATCTCCAAACTAAAGTTCTCTCTAAACCATTACGGGCATCCATGCATTCATTTTATGTAAATATTCCGTTAGACCTTTGCTTACTATTTATTCTATTATTGTTGTCATCATTACTGCAGTTATTATTCTTATTACTGTTACTAATCCTAATATCATATTTTACCACTTGGTCCATGCTAGTACAACAGATTTCTAGGGTTTTCTTTTTTTTCCAATTAAGACTTAAGGTTGTTAAATAGCTGTTCAGTTAAACGGGCTGGATCATTTAGAGTAGTCCATTGCTATTTCTCTTAATTTATTGGTAAACTGAATGAATTGCTCAACTTCTTTTCTGTGACTATAAGCATCAGGTTAGCTGCAGACGAAAGATTTGAATTTTTTGTTTTTATCGCTTTATTTGTTTTATAATAAATAAGTTCATTTTGATTGTTTTTATGAAAACAGTAGAACAGTTACAGTATGGCAGAAATTGGTCAGCAGCGGGACGTTCTGTCGCATGACGCAAAGTGCTAGATTCCGCTCCATGCACGACTTCCTTTTATTGCACTAGAACTTTATCCGGTTTCACATTTCTACTGTTAGCCACACATATCTCAAGCCTCGCCATACCCTTCATTTAAAACTCATTTAGACGAGAGTTACACACTAGTCTCTCACCCGTGAAGTAATTTGTCTCCTCACCGTTATAGTGTCATACAAGAATGTCGCAAATTTTCAAAAAGGGGACCTACGAATTGAAATAACGGGAAATCACTGGAAAAAATAGGAAAGAAGGCGACTGAGTAATGTTTGTTTAGAAATCCTCCGTTTTTTAGTCCAAAAAGATGATCAAACCGCAACACTAAGGACAGAAAACCTGAAATAGCCTCTCGACGTACTATTGAAAAACTCAGCCCTCTGTATCAAAAACTGCTTTTTCAAGATTGGACTTCCAATGCACCCATATTATTAAATGCAATAAAGTGAGTACTAACAGTAATAATAGTAAAAACAATTACTACTAAGTATCAGGAGCGACTACTGGCTGCAGTCATTGAAAGCTTTGAAATCCCCCCTCAATTTGCTGATCTCTACCTAACCTGAATGTCAATTTTTGCTTATGCGGTTAAAAATAATTTTCCGCTTCTCTCAAGTATGAAAGGTGTATGTAAATGTATACACAATCTTTTTATTAGTTTATTAATAACATAACTCAACTACTCGCTCGTGGACAAAAGGATCAGCTTAGAAATCAATAGCAAAAAATGGGCCATCAGAGCGCTGGAACTGAACTAGTTTTACTCACCGTTATCCGTGCTCTTAAGAAGGGTGCGCGAGATGTTTCTTAAGAACTCTTCTACAATAAAAAAAAATCACTGAACAAAATACAACTTTATGACTGAGGACGTGAAAGGAAATCACAGTCATATATATGTATATCCTAAATCCTCCTCGCTAGGGACAAACTGCAATTCCAGCTTCACGGGTTGCTTCAACAAGAGAGACAAGAATTCTTCAGCAAATCCGAAAAGCCAGTATATCCTTCTTGTTTCCAGTCTCCTTCCGTAGTGGAGAAATCCAGCAACATAAACGCAGTTCCCGCGGCGTTTTATCACGATCTGGAAAAACATTTAAAACACCTGCAGCAATCAAATAACTTATTCTAACTTGAAAAAAAGAGTATATATAATGCAGTATCGATTGTCAAAAAGTTGACAAAAAAGCCATATGCTTGAACGGAGATTACTAAAACACTACTTTTCAATGATTAACTGCGGTTCCTAAAAAGGCGATTAAGAAACGGTATACGATTATTTTTGAAAGACTAATGCACTTCCTTGTTACCTCTCGACCATCGGATGGTATGTAGTCAATGAAAAAACCTCTGATAAAACGGCGTATAATTGCATCCTGCGCAACCTTAAATGTCATACAAACTGCATCAGTTTCAAAACTCAGCGCACTATAAGCAATAGTATCAACTGTCACAAATTCGATCGTCATAAAAAAAAGCTAATTCTTTAATAGCTGATTAACCTATACTTGATACGGCTGCCTTATTCTGAATTCTTCTAGATTATGTGTATGCCACGATAACCAGGCTTTGCGGACTCCAATATGATGTGGCTTCTGGGCCATCTCATAAGTTAACCTCTGTGTCTGGTTGACTGTGGCCTTCATAAAAAAACGAGTCATAAAAAGGAGTAGAAACGTTGGCCATACGCTGTAAGGGGAAAATAGATTCTAATAATATATACCCGGTATTTCCCAGCTTGGTTCTTATGATTCGGAGCACTTGTTGATATACTTCTCAACATAAGACCATTTTCTTTTGCCAATGAAGCTACGACTATCTGAAGTTTGTTGGTGTACATGACTTTGTGTTATTCCACCTGTATGAAGGTTATCAGCCGTCTGGAAGATCAGATAAAATAAAGATTCTAACAAGATAAAGTAAACTACAGGAGGCATTTAAGAGTGAAGGGCAGCTAAATTTCTCGAGAAACCCGGAAAATGCACTCAACGTATAAATAACTAATTAGTTTACGATGTGAAAAATAACAGCACAACAAACACCTACTTGACTGAGCAGCTCCCTATCAGTTCGAATCAAGTGAAAAAGACAATTGTGACTTCGAAATCCATATAACCTACAACTGTTCAGAAATGACAAATATGTTAAATAAAAAACGGACGCAAGATGTAGACATATAAAACTATTTATTTCAAGGTTTTAACTTCATAACTCGCAGTAAGTGGGAAGGATGAAAAAGTGCAGCTAAAGCGAGCCTTTTAACCGCACCAATTCCAATTCTACTGTTAATGCAAAGTTCGTACTGCAAAATTTGCAAAAACTGGCAGAATGCCTTTTGCGCGTAACTTCAAACTATACAACCGTTAGACGTATATACCGCCGGAAGTACACAAATAATTTGAAAATACTACCAGTGTTCGCCCATACTTCTGTCAAGTCCTTTATGCAAAGATCTCGCATCGCATTTTTTATGCGTGTGTTGCGATCAAACAGCTAAAAAAAGCTTGAGACAAAAACTAATCAGTGCTGGATTGAAAATAACTAGGAAATAAGTACCGGTACTGTCTCTCTTGCTAACGTTCTACCTTCGGTGTAAGATGAAACTATTTAAACCTGACCTGTTATTTTGCAAATCCTGCTTTGAATTTTTTCTTTTTTCTGCCTCTAGCCATTAACCTTTAGCCTACTGACATCTGAACAACTAGTGCTCGTCCGTCAGTTGAACGTTACTCCGTTGACTACCACACATTGCTTCATTATATGCCCCATGGTAGAAATGCAGTTCTAAAACTTTTCTTTTTCTGCTTACTTTCCAGCAGTTTGTACTGTTTGTAAATAGGCAGTTATGCAAGATCCTTCAAATGAAGATATCTTTACTGGTGAGAACTTCAAGACAAAATATTTTCTGTAGAATTATGAATCTTTAGCAGGCGAAGCAAGAATTTTTTGAAGTTCCCATATATAAATTTATTCTTCTAAATAAAGAAGCGTATTATAGTGGGATCGCAAATTGAAAATTATGGCTAGAAATACAGTAAAACGGTGATATATATAAATGGATAATATCCATCAGGACCGGAGAGACTAAACAGTTTTTTTGCTTATCGTTAGTACAGTCTCTCAGTAATCAAAATACTGTTAGCGCTTTTTAGCATCTGTTGCGTGAAAGTGTAGCAAGAAATTATGGAGACTTCGTTGCTTCTTTATTATCACTTTGAAATTTTATCGTAAACGTATATCAATTTCAGATTACCGAAATTCATTTAAATCATCAGGTGTAAGCTTTGGATGGCCGATGTGTAAGAAAAAAGAAGCCACTACATAACAATATAAACATTTACTGCTTCATCAGTGAATTCCTACCAATTATTTCTCATTTTTCTTAATGAAGTACTTTACCTGCATTAAAAAAACTAACTTTCCGGCTGAATTAAGTTTAAAATTCTTCATAAGCTATCACATCTAGCAAATAAGTGCTTGAAAATGCCAGATATTTGTTTTCGTTGTCAACGTCACAAAATGCTTTTCGAAAAAAAAAAGTTGCAGTAACCAAGGCTAAGAAGTACTTAGAAAAAACTATAAACTTTAAAACTGGTTCATGTTCGACAGCAACCAATTCAATGTAAGCAGTTCCTCAACTTCTCGCTTCAGAAATAGTCATTTATTAATCCAAAATATAAAGAGTAAAAGAGAGCTCTTGTTGACTACAAAACTACTTGGAAGGACGTCCTTTTTTACACCACTTGAAACGTCCTTAACTTACTGAAAACATGAAACAGCAAACATTTGGAAAAACCGTGCGAAAAATCGACATCTTCTTTTCCTTAATTTCATCGGGTATCTTGGATAGATCACATATACTCTCAACAAAAATTCCGATTGGTACCTTTTCACTGTAGCTGCAAGAGAATTTAGAGGGTTTTCCAACGACAGTTATTTTAGCGGCAGATGTTTTTCGTAATTTTCGTAGCTTTTACAGCCCTCACATCAAACAATAAATACACGGCAGAGGAATAATCTTCGGGGTGATCAGAACAATAAATTTTTAGCTGCATTAGGGGTGAATTAGTAAGTGCGGTCGAATTATCGGAACGATAATTTGCCGCCAGTAAAGAAATTTTGCAGAACTTCAAATTGAAAAAGTTCAACTATTTTTATTTGTACCGAAAAAAAAGTCGTAAAGTTTAATTGGTATGACAAGTATTGGGACGTTTTGGCGGAATATTATTTTGTTATCCGATAAGATGAAGGGAGGAGATTAACGACTTTACTGTTTACTGCCCAAGAAGTAACGGACTTCAGCTGATTAGTTGTGTTGTACAATTTTTGTTCATACCAGAACAATAATTGTGGACAGCCTTTAGGCCACTGTTGCAAGATCAATGAAGAAAGGATGCCTAAAATTTGACAATTCAAGTGGCTTTAAAAGTGTGCCGTAAGCCATGTCATTGATGAGGTATTAGGAGGTGCTTAACCAGTTGCACATATATTTAGGTGCTTTCCAAGTTCTGTTTTAACTTTTTTGGTTCTCTGTAGTTTTTTTTTTAAATAGCCACCGAAAAGCAATGCTTGACGATTGGGTGGCGCTCCTGTTTTTCATTGTTGACTTTGATCGATTTCGAGATATTCGACAATCACTTTGTTTGAACAGTTTTCATTTTAGTAATTTTAGAAAAAATAATTTTACAAAAAGATACTCTTTGAGAAGTAGGAGGGACTGAGTGTTTGGAATAAGGGTGGTTCCGTGTTCGCTTGTAACGCTGTAATGGCTGTTCCGTTACCATTATCCGCGGCTGCCGATCCCAATATTCACTGTAAGGTAAAAACTTCTGGTCTTTGTGTTTTTTTGGTACTCAGATGTTTTTGTTAGAGAGGACTTTCTCGGACCCATTATAACCCATCTAGGTTCTCTTAATACGAGGGAACGAAATTGATAACCGTAATGGATTTTGAAAAATGAAGGGACGTGGTGAAATATTAGTATATACAACTATAAAAAAAGATACTTGAGTGGACTGTGTCGATGAAGTTTTTTTCCCATTTATTTGTTAGCATTGGTTCCTTTGCCTTTTCTACCAGACAGTTTTTTTTTACAGTTTGGAGTTTTAGTTCCTGTGGAGACTTCGCGAATTGCGCTCAAATTTTTAGGTGATTAAATTTTTTTCAGTTATACGATTACGTGGAGACTTTAAAGAAAGACCCGAATGGATGGAAGTTATGCGTAGAGAATATTATTAAAGGTGACATTGGGTGAGTCTATATATTTTCTTTTATTGTCACTAGATGCAGCAGTGACACTATTTGTTGCTTCTTTCTAAAATGGGCTCCCTTTGTTCGTTTGCCTAATTATTGTATAAATATTCCAGTAGTGTCGAAGATCACTTCATCCTCTTACAAGTCTTAGAAGCTTATGTGTCTAAAAAATACTCGACCGATGATGCTGGACAAGAGATAATCAAACTTTGGATGTCTACATGGCTATCAAATCTGTTTGTGGTTTTTTAATGACATTCTTGTGTTTTTTACTTGGCTAAAGATTCTTTTTAAGGGAAATTTACTATTACGCTTATTTTATTTCAGCTGCACTTCCGATCCACCACCAGCGTTTCTAGCGAACAAAGTTGCTCAGTTATTTGCATTAGTATTTGCTGCTGATTTTCCATCTCGTTGGCCTCACTTTATGCAGGAAGTTTGTCTTTCCTGGCCGCTAATGGTGGTTTTGTCAGGCTTTATCTTTGTTCGTCTCTCGAGCAAGTCTAGTAGCTGTCAAGTAATAATATCTGTTTTCTGTAGGTTTTCATGCAAAGGCTAGAGTACCCACCTGTTGTCACATTTCTTCTTCGTACGTTGATTGCTATAGACAGCGAAGTCGTTGACAGAGAAATTCAGCGGCCTAAAGAGGTTTAAATAGTTTCATTTTATATCGAAGGTAGAACATTAACAAGGAAGACAGTATTGGTCCTAGTTATTCTCAGTCCAGCACTGATTAGTTTTTGTCTCAAGCTTTTTTTAGCTGTTTGATCGCAACACACGCATAAAAGATGCGATGCGAGATCTTTGCATAAAGGACTTGGCAGAAGTATGGGCGAACACTCTGGTAGTATTTTCAAATTATAAGTGTTGCTTTGGAGTCGTAATAAAATTGAGATGCAGAGCTTTAACAGCGGTCTTCTCGTTTTAGAACCAAATTCGTGTTTTGAGACTTGTAGTGCCGTTGTTCACACTTTTAACTTGTACTTTTTTCTATAAGGCCTTTTATGACTCTTTATAGTGGGATTACAGAAAAGGGGTAGCGATGTCAAAGCGCAGGAACTTTGTCTCGACGTGATATCTTGTTATGTAGATTGGATCGATATTGAACTCATTGTTAATGACACGATGATTCCGCTCATTATAGGTGACATATTGCTTCTAACGTATCTTTATTTAATATTTGCTTTTCAGATTTTTATAATATAGAAGTCGAAAATTGGGATGACCTATTTTAGGCTGCCTGAATAATGCTAATACAAGTGATTCAGCAGTGAGAGCTATTTGCGCGATCATGGAGAAAGGGATGGATGTTGAGAAGAAGTTTTCTTTAGTTTTTGCCTTGAGTACGCTTCTCCGATCCAACAATTCGTTATCTGTTTCTCAGGTTTTAATTTGCTGTTACATGAGTAATATCTTGCTTCGTGCTGTTGTAAGCGACTTCACATATTTTCATTTCAACTGCTTTTCATAATTCCACTTTTAACTTTGTGGAAAGGTTTATTATTATATTGTTAATGCAGGGTAGCGATGCGGACAGTGTTATGCAAAACGGGTCCTTGATTAATTCATTGGGGCTAGTCTATATCGACTGTTATTCGAAGTAAATCTCCAATTCTTTATTGTCTACGTGTAGTTCTTTATATGTATAACATTACTCCGTTGAAAAAAGGCACGAAAGAAATTTTAGAAGTTTAGATTTGAGAAAACTAACAACATTGAACGAGTAAGGGAGTGTGCGACACTTATGGAGAGTCTGGTGGATAGTGCACTGTCTTGTTTATCCCATGAGGTCTCTATTTTTTGCGAATAGAAATGATTTAGAAATGAAATAGAAATAAAACTTTTAATTCCCTCATCGTTCTTCGAAAATTTAAGGATATCTACGCTTCACAAACAGTGGTGGACTTTTTGCGCCGATATCTTGCTTACTTAAAGGGGCATACTTTAAGTGAAGGGCATCTTTCCTTTATACAGCAGCTAGTTAATATAGTGGTTCTTCGGTATCTTTTTTATGTAGCCTTTTCAGTCTTTTTTCTAAAGTTATTGTGGGCCGGAACTTTTTAGGTATAAAGCACCTGAAGAAATTAATCTTGAGACTGACGGTGAGAACGAAATTGAGTTTTTGGAATACCGCAAGCAGCTGCGTGGGATTTTGTCTTCAGTTAGTAATTTAGTGAGTTTTACGACTGGAATTTTTCTTTATTTGTATTTAAATAACGGAATGGTGACAATTTTTTCTAGTTTTAGCGGATATCTTTGAAATACGTGTTTAGAAACCAGAGGTTTTAATATCTGTTATTGACCCAGCCGTAAGCACGATGTGCAAGGATTGGGAACGCTGCGAAGTGGCCCCACTGGAGGCAGTCGTCTCTCTAATTTATTACTTTCCTGAAGTTCTAAATGTTTGTGTTTCTAATTCTATATAGTATCTCTACTTTTTATCATTTCTGAATAGTCTCAGCAGTTGATTGTTTCACTGAAATATTGATGAAAATGTCAAGCTATTTTTTTAGTTTTTATTCACATATCATTTTTTATTACTTCTCATTAATTCTCAATAAAGTACCCTTTCTTACCCTTGGTTTTTAGACAAACTTTGTCATGGGGAAGAACGAAGTTTCTTTACTTGCGAGGAACCTTGTGCTGCAGGTTGCTATCTTCGATCAACTTTGTTTAAATTGTTTGTTTTTTTGGGACGTTGTTGGTTTTCGTCGCAGAAACTCTTGAAATAAGCAAAATCAAGTGCCGTTTCTGCAGACAGGGCATGTGAGTTCAGGACTTCCTGAAACACTCCTAGTTTTTTAAATAATGAAACTGTGAACTGCTTTTATTGCTGCAATTAGATTTGAATCTGTCAAGGTTTTGGCTAGCAATGTCAGCATGCGGGATGCGCTTGTGGTTAATCGAGTATTTTTTGAGATGGCGTGTAGGTATGATAAGCTCTTAGCAACTGAACCTAAACTTCTTCCTGCAATTTTGGTGAGAATTCAAATTATTGGTATGATTCTATCGTCTTAGCGCTATTCTTATTTTCCACTATTAATTAATTTTTTTTCAGGAAGCATTTCTTGACAAACGTGGTCTTTCACATCCCTCTGCGGCGCATAGGACGCGTATTGTATATTTATTTACTCGCTTTGTTAAGGCTCATAAGTTCGTCTCTAACTTGGTCTTGTTTTTCTCTCTTTGAATTCCCAGCATTTTATTTCCTGCTTGTGGGAGGTAATCTGGTCGAGACTTTAACGTCTTGCGTGAATTCCATCGTCAGCCTCTTTTTCCCTTTTTTTACTTCGCGAATTTTTTGATGCTTGGGTGGTTTAACAATTTTCAAGGAGTTATTTCAGACAAGCTTTAAGTGCGTATATGGGGACAGTATTACGTAGTTTAGCTCCGCTTCTTGCTGTGTCACCGCTCTCAAGTTCATTGTTCAGTAGCGACGACCAGGTTTCTTAATAAAATTTTTTTACAGAACCTTATGCTAACAACACTACTTTTTTGTTTCACCTTTGATTTTGGTCGGAAACTTATCATTTTCTATCTTACAACCTTATAGATGTATCTTTATGAAGCTACTTCAACTTTAATTTTATACGGGTCAATGGATTTGTCTCAAAAACAAGAGTATATGAAGGAGTTATTAGCCTCTTTAGCGGATAGATTTATGAACACTTATGAACAACTTACTTCTCCTGATTCAAATGAGGAGGAGATTGAACTTTTAAAGGACTACTTGGCAAATATTATTTCTTACTGTTCGTAAGTCGATTTTTTTTAGTTTGCAGTGAAATAAAAAACAAATTTAAAAAAGTTTGTTTGTTCTATAAACAGTCATTTAATATATCGAACGAAGCCCAGTTATTGCAGGCGAATAACGAAACCGTTTACCGATACTTTTACAATGAAGGAATGTGGACTTGATGGGGCTTTTGCTGAACTTCTAAACGTAAGATTTCGTTATAATGGATCATTTGAACCTGCAGCGTCTTTAATAGAATTTGCGTAGTTTTGTTGCGCGTCATTCTTTTGAAACGAGGAATAATTCAGAAATTTTTGGAAAAAGCTCATTTGGACTATCCTCCAATAGCTGATGCTTTACGGCAGTATCTTCACAGAATGGTTATATGCCTTGGAGACGAATTCCTGCCGGCCTTACCAATTATTTTTGGAAAATTTTTAACTGCCTCTTCGAATCTGAAAGCTTTGCAGGGGTTTCTAATTCTTTTGCAACAAATTGTTGCAAGGTTTAAAGTAATTTTCAATAAACTTTTGGTTCCTAACAAAATTCCGTAGCCGAATACGCCTCTTAGCAACTCTCACCTTTTTTTTTATAGGAGAAGCTGCTTACTACAAACGTGAACCTTCGAGCTCTCTTTGAAGTAGTATGGGCAGTTCAAGAAAGCAACCAGGCGACAAGTGACGAGACCGTTGCAGAAAATTTGCGTTATTTAAACCGAGCATATCTTCAGACAGTACTTGCTATAACAAATAATAAGCTGCTACGTCTTTTATCTTCGTTAGGTATACTGGTGTTGTTTTAAGTGTAACACACAGACATCCTACTATTACCCTTATAAAGTTATTAGGACTCATTTTTCATTAAAGTTTATGTTAGGGAGTGGTTTTATGGAACGGTTGTACTCATCGCTGTTTTTTTTCTGTGTTTACGAGGACCCGCTAGCCCAAAAAGTAGCTTTGACTACTCTGTACAAACTGGTTTCCTCTTTTTCATTCCCTGATCTATTATGGGATAAGATGGTTGTGACCGTGCTTCAGGTAAACTGTGGGGTACTTAACTTGTCATATAACGCTCGTTTACGTCTTTAAAGCTGATTGGAATTATTGCAGATACCTTTGTGTAAACAACATGATGTCTCGGATGCACAGTGCATGATTGTTCAACATGAAGTAGCTGCTTGTTTATTGTTGTTCCGACAGTGTTGTACAGAGAAGTAAGGCATTTTTATTTTCAAAACTGGAAGTTAAAATAATTCATATCAATGTAGTGCAACTCACCGATGCAGTTTTAGATTTGATAGGCTGTTAGAATCAGTGCTTCCTGTTGATTTAGCAAAACAGTTCAGCCAGTGCCTTAGTTCAGATCTTTCAAAGGTGAGTGCTTTTATTTTTCTGTTCAGAAGCAAGCGAAGTAAAGGTTCGTGTAAAGGTCAGAAGTAAGCAAATTGAAGGTTTGTGTAAATATTTCATGGGAATCTCCACCACTAATGTCTCACGATGAAGAGTTTGATTAGCAAGTTATGTACGGGCTTTTAAGCCTTGCAGTGGTGTTATTGTGTATTTTTTTTTTCGATGAAGAACGGTGGAGTTACAGGGTAAAGAACTGGACAAGCGTGTCGATGAGCTGTACGCTGCACTCCGAGAAAGGACGAACCTTTCATAATTTCCATTTTATTTGTAAATTTCTGACAGAAGATCTAATAATTTCTGATGATATTTAAATACAGTAATTTCTTTTTGGCAAAAATAATTTGTCTTCTTTAAGTCCAGATTGTGCTTACTATGACGCCGAGCGTTTGCATCTTATTTTTTTTCTACGATCCCTGAGTTTGAACGGTGGCAATATAGAAGGTTAAGTCTTTTGTATTGCAGCACTATGTTAAAAGTTGTAGTAAATTTGTGAAGTACAAACTTAGTCCATCTAATTTCCAACAGATTTAAAAACTTTAGCGCGCTTTTTATTTTTTTGTAGGTAAAATTCCGATTTTTTTATTTTAACTAGGAATTGTTTTAAAAATTTTAACTAGGAATTGTTTTCATTAGTTTCTTAGAAGAGAAGCACTGACTGTTTTATAGAAACAGTTTCTGGCAATGTTTCATACTGATGTATGAAAAAAGCAGCTAATTTCCCCTAATAAATGAGAAAAACAAGAAGTTGAAGAAGAGTGCCTCTAGTTGAAGGTTTTAAAAGAATGCTTCTTTTTTATGCGTGCGACGTAATTGAAAAAAAGCTATTTGAGAAAAGGGCAACGGGAATCTAAGTACTTATCGACGCTAAACGGTGCATTTGATGGCTTTGAAGTGCCAAGCCTTCAGGAAGTTCTTATGCTCTGTGGGAGCATTGGTCACAAAATTATATTTTTTACTGGCGCGGTATGATATACGCTCTGTTTTCTCATGGACTGTGTGACTTGAAAAACCGTAATAGTTCATTTATTGGAGGCCTTGTTTCATTGAGGAATAAGTTTAACTGACAGAGTAACGCGGTTTTCTACGACTATAAGGGAGTAGCATTAGAACCGTATTGGTTTGGGGTGGAAGAGGTTATCTGCTGAACAGTATGTTTCGTTCAAGGTCCTGGCCGATACAGTGGAAAATTGCACCTACCATGGAATTAATTGTAGGTCAATGTTTCATTTTTTTTCTATAAAAAGTGTAAAAGTGACGTTCATTAAGCATTTTTTCAAAACTCTTCGCCTTAATTTTCCTTCTATAACTCAATCAATATAAGGTAATTGGACGAGCGACTGGGCCAGCAAGAATTTAGAACTTCCAGTTGGAGGCTTCATATCATTTGTTATTAAAAGTGCGTATTCGAGATTTGTAGATATATTTCATATCATTGATTTCTCAACAAGGTTAAGTGGGAGACGGGTCGGAAATTGATTTAATTTACTAACTATTACCGAGTGCCTGTATGTTGCGGAAGGTCGTACTAGTTTAAAAACTTCATTCGACTTGGGACTGACAAAGGTCAATAGCAGAGGAAATCACTAATGTAATTGGGAACTGAGGAGCGGCAATTTCAGCTCAACAACAAATCTCAAGCTTTTCCGCTTCTTTTGTAGCTAATGGTGTATATAGACGTTCAGTTGCTTCTATTTTCTTTAATGCTCGTTTTAACCAGCCGTTTGTCTCGGCGACGATACGACTTCAGCGTAGCTGTGATGTGGTCTATTTCACTTAGGCCAAATGGGTTTGAGACTAAGAAGTTAATATCGGGAATCACGGTTCTTTTTTTACTTCTCTTCAAAGTGAAACAAGCAGATTCCTTTCGTGATCCGTGTTTACCCACGGGGGACGCATCTGGTTAGTGCCATGCGACTTTTCACGGAGCTGCGACTGCTTTGTTGCAGACCTCATTGGTTGGTTGTATCATTTACTGTCGTGTGTTTTTGCATTTTTATTTATTTGTCTTTTATTTTTTTATTTTTTTGTTTTTTTGTTTTTTTTT